AAATTTGAAAGTTGTGAATAACCAACGAAAGGGACGATTTTATAATTGAAATACGGACTGGCATGCTGGTTTTTGACTTCCTGTTTTGATGTTTCACGGCGCGGAGAAACGATGAAATAATTATAAAATGAAAGGGCTTTGTTTCTGCCGGTTCCAGGTTGTCGGTACAAAGTAGTTTACGGGAACGTTTTACCCAGTCGTAAACATAGTAGTTGGGTCGGAGACGGACGTTTTGTCTATCTCCTAGTAGGAATCCAGCACCGGTCCAGTTATGTGGCTCCAAGCCGACGATTCCGGCTCCCGAATATGCGCGATTTCTTTCCTGTAGGCGCCCGGGATCAATCAGGCGTCCGTGGATCAATCAGGCGCCGACGACCTCTATTACATAATAATCGCCGAGTAAGAAACGAGGGTGAGACGACTGGAAGGGGTTAAATAGGTTAAGCTCCCACCTCTGCAAACTCCAAAAAACGATTTCGTCTGGATAATTAACCCGGGGTGTCCTTGACTCCTCTGGTCCTGGAATGTCCGTGGAAGGCCACGTGGCTCCTGACGTCAGGAGGCCCTATTGTTGTCCCTAGCGGTCCATCCGTCTCCCCTTCCCGATCCTCGGACGTTCGACATTCCTCCGGGCCCCCTCTCCCGGAGGTTCTTCCGTCAAACCGGTGTGCCACAACCAGCACTAACATCATTCGTATTAGCAGTTACCCATTTAAACTGGAGGTATTGATTCCCTCGTAATCCGGTTGAACCGATTTACCATCGGGGTCCTATCTCCTTTTCGGTACGTTTAAAGCAGAAGCTTTCAGGATAATCTCTCTCATCCGTAGGATCCCTATTTATGGATCTTGTAAGGCTGATGTTCTTGAAATTCCACTGTTTCAGATAGCTCATTCTTTATGTTTTCCAAGCTGGAATAAACAGCTCGTAAATTGCTTTGGACCACCCACACAACAAGATTAACATTGTGAAATTAAGTTCAGCGATCAGCTATTTATGACCTGTTGGCACCAGAGCATAACGAGTGATATGTACGACTATTTCTCGGAAACGACCGCGGAACGGCAACTGACCGATAAAATCTCAATTTTAACGACATCCTCGCATTTGCACGGTTCTGCTGTGATGAATGTTCTTCACAAATGGTTCAGTTTCTATTTCGTAGAAAAATAAATTATCCATAATTACTTGGCACACGTTACTATCAGGTCAGATTGGTTTCTTTTAAAAGTTATTATAGCACATATGTACGGACTTCATCTCGAAGCATGCCTAAGAAACTAGATCACAAAAAATTGACTGCATTCTTCATGCAAAACTTAATTCTATTGTTTATACATTGAATGTTGAGAATCATGTTAGAAATGCAAGAATTTTTAGATATATGTACCAAGTACAGTGGATTATAACATTACAACCAAACCTTGGTTTCTTTTTAAAAACCGACGGTTTTTTCATAATCGTTGAAATGTCAACGATGTTAAATGGAACATATTGTGAAGTTTATTCGATGGATCTATGTTTTAAAAGTTAACCCATTTTTTCTCATTAATAAGCCTTCTTTCTTCACTCTCACGTGATTCTGTCGAAGATTTGTTTCCTCCCGCGTATTTCCTTGTCGAATATGATGTCATTCTTGACACTTTTTGTGAATTTCTTATAAAAATATTTCTACCAATTTTTAGGAATTTTTAGGATCAAACTATCCATTGTGTAACTATCAATGAAGGATTCTGCTTATTAAAATCCAGGATTCTGTTTGGTATTTGTTGTTAGCTTTTCTGAGTTTCGTGTGAATAGAGATCTCAGTTTTTTAAGGAAATAAATATATTTGCTTGTATGGAATGTGGGAAAAATGTACAAAAATTTTTCTTTAGTTTTTAATTAGGGTTATTAAGTATCCGATGTATTATTCACATTTTTTTAAATAGCTTTTCATATGAAATAATTAAAAAATAAGACATCAATTGAAAGGGTAATGATCAAGAAAAACAAATGAACCAAAATAAGTGCGGAAAAATATGTCACTTCCAAAGTTATAAATTTCACCCTTATAAAAATTAAAAATAGTTGTCTATCACTTATCAAACTTTGCCTTTTTAGTGTGTATGCTGACTAATTGGTGCTATTATTGCTCAAGATAATTTCCTAATATTCCAAGATTTCTTACAATTTGGTACGACTCGTCTTCAAAAGAGCAGTTATTAACAATGAAATTTTATTTTATCGGACAGATGCCGTTCCGCGGTCGTGAAGCGATTTTAAAAAATAGCCTTACGTATCGGCCTTTATGCATCCGACCTCTCGGCCGTCGATGAAAGAATTCAGGAGAAAAGTGGGATTAACACATACCGACGTGTGCCTCTGACCGTTCTTCCCCCTGGTAAAGAGCATCGTTTTTATTTCCATTGTTCCTTTTCTCCTCCCCGTCTTAAAAATTTGAAAAGAAATAACTTATGGCTTACAGTAATATATAAATAGTGATGATACATAAATACTTTTACTGAGTACTGCTTAATACATGGTCAAATTTGTGCTCGCATTTGGGTACATATACAGTATAGTATTTATGTATAGTAGTTGAGCCTATCACTTCTCGCATACTACCAGCAATTACAGCTTTGGTGTAATTTACAATAAATTAACGGCAGATCTCGACATCACCTACCCGGATCGTTGGCAGTTCGGGGTCAAACCTCGGAGTTATCCGTCCAGCAGAGTTTAGGCTACCAACAGCTAGGTCATGGTAGAGTATTCCTCCATTACTCTTTGGACCTATATAAATAACCTAATTGAGGGTCTGTGGGTACTCAATATTTCATAGACGCTCTCACACTGCACATTCACGCTAATGAATGAACAGGATATTTTCTCTTAATACATGCAAGCGGGTATAAAAATATCAGTGGTATAATCAATAAAACAACTCAATTTCCTCCAAGAATAGGAACAGGGAACCCTGTGCTCAACCATAATTTTCATATCCGGTGGCATTTCTACGTGCTCTCTATATAGAGCCTCATGCCGGACACATAAGCGGGCTTCGGCCCAAATGTTAGTGCCCGCTTGTCAACCTCGCATGGACTGCCTTTAACGGAGTGAGGATGACTTTTCTTCTAAGAAATAGGTCCTCCATGGACCACCTATCGACAGTGCTCGTGATACGTGGCCTAAAGCATCTTACATTGGAATATATTTATTTTATTATTTGTTTGCTGTAATTGAATCCATTATTTTGAGAAAAAAATAGTAAAAGATAATGTAGAACAAAATAATTTAAATGGGACAGCTTGTTCTCAGTAAGTTTACCAAATTTCTATTGTATTACATTTAGTTTGTTTACTACTAAAAAATCATCAATTTTAAGGGGTAGATGAAAAATAGCCAAATTCGTTTCGAATAGTTAAGTAAAGATAGCAGTCTTTTAAATATGTAATAATTGACTAATTATGTTTTAATTATAAACTATTTTCATTAGTATCAATTTTATACAAAAATGAATATATATATGATATATATACAAAGGTTCAGATTCGGTCTTAGATCGTATTGCCTCATATATTTTGACAAAACAATATGGGAAAATAAAATATTTTGACAAATACAATATAGACTTATGATTAAATAGGTTTCATATTAAATAGGTCGGTTAACATATGATATGTCTGAATCCAACAGAAGTTTCTGCGTTTATTCTCGCAACAACGATCCAAAAAAATCAATAATTCTATAATCGAATACAAATTTTTGGTGATTAATATTCATTTGAACCAGGTTTTAACAAGTTGGGATTCTGGAAAAATTACCGATGATGGTATGTAAATATGAATACTGATTAAACACTGATATAACTCGTCATAATTTGTCATATAAATATCATAAATTTTTTCCACGAGCTACTTTATTTGCACAATATTCATTAAGGCTGCTTACCCAAAAAATATTTGAAACTATACATTTTCCGTTTATCTCCTACTTTGCTATAATAATTTTTCCAATTGGTTTAATGAATCATTGTTTAATGAAAAACATTTGGAGAAAAATTCAGACGAGGGTGTATGAATCATAGTTAGGATTAGGATTTTTGCAGGTTAGTTTGGCTCATATCGATGGTGTAGAAATGTTTCTTTTTGTAGATTTATTTTATTTTTAATATATTAATTTTTTACATTGTCACATAATATCCAGAATAATTGAAGAACGTTACTGTGGCTTGTTTTTGGCGGTGATTGAATAACTGAATTTTAATTTTTAGATCCTTAACAAATAAGATTGTAATAAATGTTATTAAAATTCGCACATGACAAAACCATAAGGTGCCTTATTATCACATTCATGAGGAACATTTTTGTTAAGCTTTCAATGAAACTTATTCCGAGCCAATTTTGTATATCAATTTATAGTTTAATATGTATTTATTTAAAAAAAATGTAAAAGTTGTACAGCCCTTGCAACATTCAGCGAAATACAATATTGTAAGGAAGAATCTACACGGCAATTACGTTTTTGTCGATTAACGACAAAACACATACAACAACATCAACTGTCACATTTTGAAAATTTTGAGGGTACAGGAACAAATGGAAGCGACCGTACTTGAAATATACTAACCAAAACTTACTGACATTCTTTTGACAGTACAATCCTGATAATCGTAATGGCAAGAGAACTGAGGTTGTTACTTATATTATAAATAATTAATACAAAATGATCAAAATCATCTTTTTCCAATCAAGCCTTACCAATTCAATGTCTTTCGAATCATTGCGTAATGCTAATTTAAGAACGTACAAGTTTATGTACTATTTTTACCCACGTTTGCAATCTGAACTATACATTGCGAACAATAGCCTTCGTTTTTCGCATACTTGCCATCCCAAGGCCCCGGATGCCCTGACACGGATCTTTTCTGATTTTTTCCTCCTTCACTACTATGTTTATTCACAGCTAAGGTTTGTTTAATAGCCGTCTATTAATACCGCTTTAATTTCTGTTCACAGGGCCTGGATAACAATGGGAAGCCGTTGTTAGAGTTTTTCTTTCAAGTGCAGTTCTATGTGGAAAGCCCTCTTCTTCTTCAGTGAGTATTTCATTGTGCTATGTTACGGTTGATGTCTGATAAATGTAGCATTCGTCATTGGCGAAGGAGAAATAACCCAGAAGAAATCCGTGCTATTTTTGTTTGAGAAAAGCCTTGAATAAGGTGGAGTCGTAAAGATGGCAATGGAATTCCAAAGTCGTAAGAGATGAGATTCCTCTGATTACGATTTTTATATTTTATTCCCTCTCTCAGAACAAAGGTTTACAAGCTATAGCCTCCCTACCACTCAACAAAAGACGTGATGCCATTGAATTGTGGGGGACATACGTATGGGAAAAACGCAAATGAGTTGGTTTATAAGTTTCTTTTTTCTCACAAGACAAGAAGACAGAAACATTTATTTGAACAAATCTACAAACAAGATTTTCTTGTACCTCACCTTTTACAATGTACTCTTTATAAAAGTTAAAAAAGGAATGAAAAATATACTGTAGAGTTTACTAATATGAATAAATGTAAATTATTTCAAAACAATGCTATCAAACAAATCCACTGAAGGAAAAAATTATAAAATTAAATTTAAAAATACTAGGCGAAAGATGAAGAAATTCTTAAAAAATTCGCCAAGGTTTTAGATAAACATTTTAATTTGTTTTTAAATTATATAATAATATTATTATTTTCTAGATTGTTAGCGGTTTGTAGGTCGGATCGGAGAAGCTCTCGCGTTTCAAAAGCACTGTTGATAGGTGGCCCTCGGAGAAAATGACTCGTAGAAGAAGAGTATCCTCACTTGATTAAAAATAGGCCATGTGAGGTTGACACATGGAAACTTACGTTTGGACCCCTCGTGTGTCCGGCGTGTAGGGAAAGGTTGCTCGACGTCTCCCAGGTAATTAAAGGGTTCAACGTCTTGGCTCCATATAGAGAGCGCGTGGGAATGCCACCCGATAGATAATTGTACTTGAGTACGGCAGCGATGGACCCCCTTTTTAGATTCTTGTAGGAAATATTTTATTGTATCGTATATAGTAATAATAGTTTTGTGACCATAGCGTGAGTTGGTGAATATATTTATTAGCGTGAATATGTAGTGTGAGAAGGTCTAGAGGAATATTGCGTTCACTATTGACCCTTGATTAGGTTAGTTATATAAGAGGTATAACGGATGAGTAATATCGAGTACTCCACCACCCTAACAGAGTGAATGGTTTGTAAAAGAATGTTAAAGAACAGTGCGAATCGATTTAGTAACAGGGTGCTAAAATGGCCTAGATGTTGATAACACCCAGAGCCCAACCTCGGTAGCTGGACGGTTAGCCCGAGTTCTGAACCCGGACTACCAACACCTCGGATTGGTGCTTCTTGAGGCCTGCTGGTGAACTGCGAGTAGTAATAGGCCCAATACCGTACAGGCGAGCGCATATGTACATGCGCGTGCAGATTTTAGCTTATATAAATCAGTAATCAGTTGGCACTGGTATTTTTCCCTACGTACTGACAACAGTTATTTAGAAGTACTGCCGTCTTGTTCCATTTTTGATTGCAATTGTTGAAGGGTATTGACTGTGATAAATAAATTAAGATTATTAATTAAATAAAAGCTAGGTTTCATGCATGTTTTACATGTAATAATTCAATAATGCATAAGAATGAATGATCGAACCGCATCGTAAAGATGATGATGACGACGAATGATTTCTTACATGTTTTAATCTAAATGTATACGAATTATTTCAACATTATTCCATTATACCTATAAGAATTCAACATTATCACAACTCACCATTTAGCTCGATGAAACTTTTTTTAACCAATTTCGTTCGCTGTCTGTGGGGTGAGGTAGGAGGAAGTGGAACTGAAAGCAATAAATTTCTTAGACGCTTGTCCCTCTTTGGAAGACCGGTTATTTACGATCCTGTGAACCGTTGTCGTTCGTTTGTTGGATTTTTCAAAAAATTTGGACAAAAGGGCACCCCTTTCGAGGAGGCATGCGGTTCCGAAAGAATAGGTCGGAAAGTCGAAATTGGGTCCTTGGGCCAGCCAAGGACTAGGAATTCCTTTGTGTAAATGTCTCGCTTTTTAATTGCGGCCCAGTCTGCTTTTTTGCCTTGTGAGAAATTCCACAGTTAATATCATGGCCGTCTTGTTATTAATCTCGATTTGATGTCGAGTGTTTCGATATTTTTTTGACAATGCCGTCGAGTCGTAATTGGCCTATTTTTTACAATGATCGACAACTTGGCTACACCTATAAGTTCTTTCAGGGCATGGTTCCCCTTCAGCACTCAACATTGCTGCTTACGTTAACAAAATCAATTTGAGAATCAAATATGTAAAAAAAGGTGGAGGCAAGGGAAGAATGTTATAAGTACGTGTTTGATTTTCGTCCAAAGTTTTGGCCACATGTACAGCATTTCCAAGTCTATTTGAACCTTTCCGAAGTCAAGAGTAGTCCTTTCAAGGTCACATGTAACCCTTTCCGCATGAGTTGAAACTAATTCCAACTCAACTGTAACATTTCCCATATGCAGTAAAACCATTTCTAAGACAAATGTAACCTTTACCATATGAGTTGAAACCATTTCCAAGTCAAATGTAACCTTTTCCATATGAGTTGAAACCATTTGCAATCAAATGTAACCTTTTTTATGTGAGTTGAAACCATTTCCAAGTGAAATGTAACCTTTTCCATATGAGTTGAGTTGAAACCATTCCAAATCAAATATAACCTTTTGCATACGAGTTGAAACAATTCCCATGTCAAATGTAACCTACTCAATGTGTGCTTTGAAAGGTTTTCGACTCATATGGAAAAGGTCACTGTCTGACTTGAAAGGGCTATATTTGATTTGCAAAAGTATACAAATTTAAAATTGACTTGGTAAAAGTTCAAATAGATTTGAAAATTCTATATATCATAACTTTTGAACTAATTGGTGTAAATATGTTTCTGATAATTTTTTTTCTTTCGATGCAAGTGCAAAGCATATACATAGGAAAAAAAATTAAACAATATTTTGGAATACAAATCCACAACTTAACATATCCAATTGCCGAAACACGCTTGAAACCAAAATGGCGAGGATAGGACTCGTAATAGGAACGGAAACGACCAACTTATCATCTAAAACTCACACACACACACACACACACACACACACACATATATATATATATATACCAAATACTTCAGGATTGGTCAATTTAGAGTTCTTTTCCGAGATAACGCCAATCTCCTAGTATCATTAATAACCGATTGCGAACAATTTATCACGATTATTTGAAGATAATTGACATATTTGAAAACCTACTTCAGGGTCAATGAAAATATCTCACATTTCGACTTTCTACGTTACAATATAACAAAAATGTGTGGAAATAGGCCAAAAATTAAAAATTTATACAAACTACATAAATTTCAAAACTATACTACTGTTTATTACTGTTACAGCTGTTTAAAGCGGTTGTTGATGACCTGCTGGATGATCAACACGATTTGGAATATAAACATTTACATATCAGAAAGAGAAAATAATGAAATACGGTCGTTGTTTCAATTGATCAGGCTTCTAAAATAGTCAGACGTGCTGGATTTGTAAATATCATGTACAGGGTACGGTACGTAAGCGATATCATCGATTTTACAGTATGCAGTCGACTGAACCATTTATTTTTCATAAAATCATTTCCATCGGCGTGTTCGATTGCTGATAGAATCCGTACTGCCAAAGCAAATTGCCCCTTATCCTTCATGGTTATCCAATTTCAAATGTTTCTTGCCCCGTGGGCCCGTGCTCGATTCCGGTTTTGACTTTAACCGGCCGGTCGATATCGGGTGTTAAATATTCAGTTACAAGGCATAAATTGCCCGAATAAAAGAAGACTTGGGTGTATTGTCGCATGGAATGAACGAAGGTGAAATTGCCGCCCACTGGCACCACGTTCATAGTTTTATAAATACCCCAAAATCCAACAACATTTGAGAACACTTCTAAATAATAATTTGTAGTCATGATGATGTACATGGATACTAGGAAGTTGGAGTTTTTTGTTTCTCAAGCACTGTAGCATATTGTACTTTCCTAGTTCCTTAATTCAGAGCACATGACTCGATCCTTCTCCTAGATAGTACTAGAGCTTGACTGTCGTTGCTACAATTCACTGGGTTTCTTTGTATCCCAGACATATCTCCATTGAGCGGTTGCTTCGCATCTAAGATAATATGGGTGGTTGTTTCTTCAACCTCATTGCATAACGTACAAATGGGGTCATCATTGAATATACCCACGTTGTGAAGATGTTTTCTCAGAGGCCAGTGACTAGTATATAGTCATATTACTTCTTCGAGTTTGGAGTTTGGCAGTCTTGGTAAGGGTTGTGTTAATGCATGCTTACTAGCACTTCTAGAGTTTATCCAATTTTTTCTTTTTTCGATCATTCTGTGATGGAGAATTCTATTTGTTTTTGTTATCCCAAGAATAGGTTCAGGGCTTACACGGTAGTGCAGGCCCTCCTCTGGCCAGTTTATCTGCCTTTTCGTTACCCTAAATTCCTTTTGTCCCTATACCCAAGATATCATCAGGTTGTTGTGTTTTAAAGATGTTGGGATGCATTTGATATAACTATTTTTTTACATGCTAATGCTTTAATAGCTGCTTGGTTATTTGATCTTTTGAGGATTTTTCTGTCCATGTATCCACTTTTTAGATTTTCTAAGGCGAAAGTGATAGTGGCTTTAAAGGCCGTGGTGAACTTCCTTAATGAGTTTTTGGGCTTAAACAAGAAACGCCTAATCTGTTTCCTTCGTTTGTTTTGGGACCACCATGTAGTGGCCACTTGTAGTTACCACGTTTTCGCTAGATGCCACTACCACTTATGGAATGTTCAGCCCGACGAATTCTTACCCATCACTAATCAACAATGACAGCAGACTCGTCAACCCGACGAGCTCTCACAAATCACTAATGGAACACCGCCGACGACAGCAAGGGTACTCGCAGCATTAGCCTGATTCTCGCCTTCTAAACACAGCCAACTTAGCTATAAACGCCAACTGCTTCTCTCGGCTAATTGCTGCACTCGAGTACCTTCGGCCTCTGTGAAGTCAACTGACTCACGGCCCCCGGACCTCAGACAACGGTCACAGACCACCACCAATGGCGCCACTCACACGGCGTTACGAAACAACGCCGGCCCTTTTCAGGGCCACAGAACTACGAGTCACTAAATACAAAATCATTGTATCTGATTTCTATTGGCAAAATAATTTATAAAATGAATGTTGGTAACACCGGTAACTGTAGTAGAGGGAAGTTGTTGCTTTGTTAGTTATTCCGCCGACACCTTAACACCTGCTCTTTTTAATGTTTCCGACAACAATTTCTTCCTGAATTCTTCTTTGTAGGCTGTTGTAAAAAGTATTTCCAGGATCATACAGTTATTCCCCATTTCTAAGAATGGGTGTCTGATTTTATTATTTACTTTTCTGTGCCCGAAATATTTAATTTCCATCCAATTCAATTGTTTCTGGGGCCTAAATAAACTTTTCCTTGCTTCTCCATGCATAAATATCGCCAATGAGGTAGTTCTAGCAGTATTTCTAGGGCAATTAGCGGGGTAGTTGCCCATGTGATACATACGTCTTTGTTTACTGCCTAATGTTTGGTTAGATTGTTTTTGCTGTGCTTTCGTTCACCAGATTAGTCAGAATTATGATACTTTGAGTCCTATATACTCGTATATAGCCAATGGGCCATTTTCGGTTTTAGTCTCCAATATTGCCTAGAGTTCTTCTAGTTGTCATTAGCGATATATTGCTTTGTGTTATGATGTGCTACAGGTGAAGGATCGAGGTTGATTTCTTATCAAAGATTTTAAACCTTGTAAGTATTAAACCTTGTTTTTAACTGCAGTATTTCATTACAGAAACAGAGACCATGTCTTTTTTACTGGTTAATGCAAATAGTGTGGTTATTTAGGGCTTTGCTTAAAATCCCCGTGGTGAGCACCATTGCTCTACCATGTTCAGTGCTCTTCTGGTTAGCTCTTTTAATGCTGAGGGGAATTTTCCCCTTATTAACAATGTCATCTGCATAGCCTTGGGTATATTCTCCTTCATTTCGTTTGCTTATGACGTCGTCTTCAACACATTCCACACAGGAGGATTTATGGTCATTGACATGTAGTCATCAAACATCGTTTTCTCCTCATTCCTCCTTGGTTTAAACATTAATAATTAAAGTTAAATAAAAGAAAATCCTAAAAGTTTAACATACATATAAAATAAGCACAATAATTGTGAGCGTTCTAAACTGAACGATTCTTGTCTTTTATCTGTTTACAGATGAAAGATTGAGCAGGAAAAATCGGTTAACCATTCGAAATGTGATCAGGCTATGCATCTTTCGTTAATGTTGCCCAAAATACAGTATACTTTTTTTTTAACTTCAGGAAGGAAAGTGGAAAGAAAACGCTCACTTCTATCTGACTGGAAATACATCTGTTAAAATAAATTGCAAAGGTTTGGTATTTAAAATGAGTCAGCACCACATCAAAGATGTACTCTAAAGGGTGCATGTTGTAAATTTAAATAACCAAATTTACTTAGTATAAACTAAATTCTGATAACCCCACAAGTTTGTACATCAGGGACTTATGCCTCAGTTGTATGTCTTACGTTCAAACACACTTAAAGGCTCTGGATTCTTGGACAAATTTTCCCAGACCATGAGAAATCGTGTTTTTGCATAACAGACCCACCTTACAAATTTTGAAAGACAAAAAGGCTGACCTGACGAAGTATTTGATCAATAAAAAGCACATGAAGACCAGAAATAACAAAACTCCGCAATTACTACCCAGCCCCAAATGCAATTTTTTTAAAATTTTATTTATTTATTTTTTTACTATATATAATTCTCTTTGTATAATTTTTTATTATTTTTAAAGTAAATTAAATTTTTATTAGGGATGAAACCTCAATTGAACATTACTTCACCCAGATCATGGGTAACGTCTTGGAGAGGGGTATGTTTCATCCATCAGTTTCCCATCAGGCGCTGTTCATCCTTGCAGGCCTGGCATTACAGGCTCAGCACGGTGACTCTTCCCATCCTGACTTCTATACCAAACCACAGAACTACCTCCCACAACAAGTAAGATTTGAAAATAAGATGTTTCTATTAAACTGAATTGAGAGAAGAAAGGATATAATTTTTACATTTCTGATGGTACAGTTAGTCAATTCCTGTGGGGGCTCGAGACTGAGCCACACCATAGCCTCGCTCCACAGGGCCAATTCTGGACTGACAAAGACGCAAGCGAGAGTGCAGTACATAAGAGAAGCCTCTTCTCTTGACACCTCTGCCATACCACATAACACCCACCTCTATAGACTACGATCATCCAAGCATGAAACACCTCCTGGAAATGTTGTACTGGCAATTTGCACTCGTGGAATAGAATTATACCAGGTATAATGATACATTTTGAATTCCCTGATTTACTGTCATTCTGCGTGCTAATTTATATTTTCTTTTTTAGGAAAATTCTCAAAAACCTCTCAGTGGTAACTTTTTATGGAATGATATTGGAAAACTCTGTTTTGATGTAAGTTTTATCTTTTATTTTCATGTTCAATGTTTGCTTATAAAAGCTGTCTTACAGAGAAAAAAATTTGAAATAAGGGGAGCAAATTGGGCTTCAAGCGAAAAGTTTATTTATTATGCTAGTAGTGACGAAAAAAGTAAACATCTCCTTTCCCTGTGCAAAGTTACACATCAGTATAGCATGGCAGTACAACCAAGACTTGCTCAAGTACGAGGACGAGAAGAATCAGGTTTGTCCAAAATAATATTGTGTTTTAATATTTAATGTCATTTTAATGATGTTTTTTCTTTGTAAACAGAAAGAAAACAATGTCGAGAGTGGCCAATGGAAATTGGAAAATATTCTAATCGGTATGGTGGGACGGGTGAGCAGAGGATATCCGTTATTTCCTCTACTTCGTCAACCACAACATCTGGAATTGTGTCTGACAGGGTCCACAGTCTAGATGAAAGTGAAGGTAAATTGCTAATCACTATTCCATTTCCAACTTTACCATTACCCAAAATATTATATTTTATAGACGATTTAGAGTTGGAAATAATGATAAACTCTCCACCAGCACCATCTGTAGAATCTCTGGCACTTGCACACCTTTGTGAGAGTAGCCAGAATTCTCCTGTTCCACAGACTACACTTGACGTAAAGCCAGTGGTAGACACTGTGGATAATTGCAACATCAATGTAGTCACCATGACATCTGCAACAACAGATGGTTCACAGTGTTCAAGTTCAGCTTCGACAGTTGTCATACAAAAACAACAACAATCTGTTGACAATATGAACTCGGTATATTTTAATACTATATAATAATTTAATTGGTTAAACACAGATTTTTAGTAATAGTTTATTTTTCAGGGAGGAATGGTCCCAAGATGTGAAAGTGTTACATCAAGTTTGGAACTTGGCTACAGCCACACAGCTCAGCATTCAGCATTGTCTGAGACCTGTGAATTGGACTATTCAGTACAATCAGTTCATGCTAGCTCTGGAGTTTATACTCTGGATGGAAGTTGTGATACTCATACAGTTGTAGAAACTGTAGCAAGCAGCAGTGGGATTGGCCTTGAATCTCAAGGTTTGTCAATTTAGCTGTACTTATTCTTACATTGCAAAGCAGTATGTTAATGTTTTTTGTAATAACAGGTCAGAGATCACGTTCAGGCTCACTTGTGAGTAATACTGGCAGCTTTCATGGCGATGGATCTGATCCATCTGATGCAGGAAGAGGAAATTTGCTGAGTGCTGAAGAATTATCCAATCTTATAGTACATCGGAGTCCTAAACCAAGAAGGGGAATTTATCCAACAAGGGCAACTGTTAGCTCAACATTAGATTCTTGTTCTGATTACGTGACATTGCCACCTCCTCCTATTCCACCACCACCCATTCCTCCCCCACGAGGAGATTCGGACAAGACTCAAAATTATGTGGTGCTAGAGCCACCCAAGCTACAAAGTAGAGATTTCTATTATTCACAAAACATGCTTCCTCAGATTATGATTCCACAACAGTACCAGTATATGTCGAACATGTTACACCCATTGAATTCTTTGCCATCGCCCAGTTCTGATGACTCTGCCACTAGATTTCTGACACCAAAACCTCAGATGAATATGTTGCCAAGTCACCATGGGTATCTTCACCAAAGCCATAGTTTCTCTCACCCAAATCCAAGATTTGACCCTTCAGCAAGAATGAAGTTAAATTCCAACATGATTCCAATTGTCGGCAGTAACAACTACTTGGATGTTAGAGGGTCATATTTGCAACAATACCATCCACAAACGCATCTTCTCCATTCACGACAACCACCACCGCCTCCCCCAAGGCCAAATCTTTCAACAGTTTACACAAGCCAAGTGACTCGTTCACAGATCGAGCAGTTCAAGCAACAGCTTTACTCTGATGCAGATTATGTAATGTACCCTATGCAAGATCCTGCTATTTCTAAACAAGAATATATAGACTCTAAAGTTGCTTTAGGCTACAGGCAAACACCACCACCACCTTACCCAAGCAGTAAGAACATTATGTACAGAAGCACCCCTAATGTTGCAGTAGCGAGTGGATACCTTCCGATTTATAATAAACTATCACATAACAAATTCGCTTCAAACCAAAATCTATCTGACTACTATCCTCAATCCTTTCTGTCTAGTTCTCCATTGTATTCAGCAGCAGCTAGTTACTCCTCCTCATCGACACATAGCCTTCGATTTGATCCTATTCATCAACCGATTCCTCCTCTTGCCATGCCTCCATCTTTTCACAGAACAGTGTCACATGATAACATTCTCAGCTGTGAAAGGCTGACGGTTGACCGAAGCAAATACAGAAGACCACCGCCTCCAGTCCCTACGTCAGAAATATCTGTAAGTGTTCATGAGGCAAAGTATTTTATTAGAACATGTTACATTAAACTGTTGAATGTTTCAGAATTTAGAAGCAAGTTTTGCTGGTATGGCTTCTTCAAGCAAGTCAACACCACGCAAGGATTCTGTCGTCGAAAAGAAAGATTCGCCACTCGATATATCTTCATTGAGAGAGAAGAGTCGTAACTTAGACCTTCCATTGATATCTGCATTGTGCAATGATAGAAGCCTTCTAAAGCAGACAAATGCTTTTGTGATGCCGCAACATCCAGGGGAGCAGGAGAGGCCTGTTTCGTGGCATGTTGAAACACAGAAGCATACCGATTTCACTGACACGGGAAAAAAATCAATCTTTTCAACACTGCTCTCAAAATCAGTCTCAAATCCATCAACACCTTCAAAAAACTCCAAACTCAAATACCCAGTGTCAGGACTTTCTACAAATCAAATTGTCAAAGCAAACAGGAAGACCATCAGCAGGCACAAACATCCAGAAACTAAAGTGTCTACTAAAGTGAACAGGAGCCAGAGTACTGGAGGTGCAACATCAAAAGATGGTTTACGCTATTGAAGATAATTTTTTAACTGCACTTTTTATATTTCAAGCGTTATGCCAAATGATTTTTTTAAAAGAAATTCTTTTCTCTAGATTATGTATTTTCAAATAATAATTTGAAATTATTTTAAAATTTACGATATGTTAGTAAAATTAGTAATTACTAAAATTAGCAAAAGAAAAGTGCAAAATAAATTGAATTACCTTTAGACAAAAACGACTGCAACATGAATATTGGTTTTATACTTGTGGTTTTAACATGAATATTGCAATTATACTTTTTAAAAAGAGTAATTGATAGATATTTTTAATAAATTTAAGATATTTAGGGTTTATAGCAACATACAACTCAGGGTGCCATTTGATTTAATTTGCTATCAATGTTATTTGTCTCTACCATTCTTTTCTAAATGAAAGATAATGGGGGATGATATTAGTTTATAATTTTAATTAGTTTTGTTAATTGGTAGGTTTTTTTAACTTCTTCGCCAAATTTGTTACTTATTCGACTTCTTTTTGTAAAATATTTATATTCGTGTGGGTAACAAATTTTTAGGTTTTAAATGAGAAAATTGTTTTACAAAAGAGGAATGTTTTAAAAACCTATCGATGCAAAATTCGTTTCGTTTCAATTGTTTATACTATCGTAGAATTTGTTTATATTATCATTAAATGAAATGACAAATTAGTTTTTAAACTGTTGTAGATTGGTTATGAATATTGATCATATTTTAATAATGAAAATGTGCAATGTGTTTATATTGAAGAAAGTATTGCTCAAAATAAATTAGTATTACTGCTCAAACGTTTAATGGCCATTGAAATATTTTCTTCTTGTAATGTTAATGGTGAATAAGACTAAATTCTACCAGCCAGGATACAAATTAATCCATATATGTATCTAGTAGTCATAGTTGACTGTATTAATTAACATAATAGGTCAACTATGACTACTAAATACATATATGGATTAATATAATAGTTATGGAAGTACTTATTTCGCTAACCCTCCCACACCGATTAAATGACATTTGAAAATATGGCAAAAAGAGGGAAAAATTTGATAGGTTGAAGGTTGAGATGAAGAGTTGGTGTCCGAGTAGATCGAAGATTAATTTATTAAGCCAAAGGTAGTGGGTTCAAATCCAACTTGTGACACTTGCTTTTTCATTCAAGTCCTTAAATTAAAAGAATAACTAATTAAAATACAAAATAATTTGTTGAAGTTGTGAGGAGTGGTCAAGAATAAGGTAGTTTGGAAAAACACCTTTTTCATTTTTTGCCGACGTTCCAACCTTTATTCAGGTCATCTTCAGGGCCTGGGTAAATTACAAAACATATGTTGATTGGAAAAAATACAATTTGTCAAATTCATGTTTCACAACACTTTCACACAACACCATTATGACACCACAAGAATAGCACGATACTTTGTGAGTATGAATTTCTTGTTTCAAAATTTATATTTACATCTCAGTTTATTTTTTCCAATCAACAAATGTTTTGTAATATGTATAAAGATGACCCAAATAAAGGTAGGAATCGGCAAAAATGAAAAAGGTGTTTTTCTAAACTACCTCATTTTTGACTGCTCCTCACGATTTCAACAAATTATGAAAGAACAGGTCACTAAGAAACACAAATACAAAATGATATTTAGCATTCTTAAAGACATATACGTATTAAGGACCCCAGTAGCCAATTGGTGGCAATCATATTTGCTATGTTAGTGTTTTGAGTTTGAATATCAGCATGGCCTTTGAAATTTTAATTGACAATAATACAAAAAAAAAAAAAAAAAAAAAAATAGTAAGTCGATTAACCCCTTATCTGACACCCAACACCTAATTGTATATTAACCCTCCTATATGACAGGAATGACTTAAGAATAGTTGATCTTTTTCTGTTATTATTTATGACAAAAGTTCAACAAATTGTTGAATTCAAAAGTGAAGATTTTTATTTGCGTATAATAAACAACAGCTAATTGCTTTTTGGATTCAAACTTTTCTTTTGATATTATAGTCAAATAATACTAACAAGAGGTAGTAATTTAAGGAATATAACAACAAATTTGAAAAAAACAAAAAAAAACAATAACTATATTTTCATAAAATTTTACAAATGACAATTAGTAAGTACACAAATTTACATTTTAATTACAAATTAACGTTAATCATTACATTACTTAATCTTTTTCATGCATGACGAGAGTTTTGCTCCCTGCATTACTAATATTTTTTTATTGTTTTATGTCCATTGATTTTCATTTTAGATCAGACCATATGCAGTTTTTGTGTATAATTTTCTTCAGGTTTCTTTTAATTTATAATTTTGGTCGCAAATATAAACATACAAATACAACATAACCACTTTCAAAGCTAGAATAGAAGCTTGACATTTTTACACTAAAATATCACATATAATTAATTTATTTACATATTAGTTATAGTAATTAACACATCTGTTCCAAATGACCGAAGTATGTAAATCAAAGAGTGTGAGAAAATTTCTTAGTTTTCTTTTAAGAATATGTCTTTAAGAATGACCGAAAGATAGATAATTTAACCTCTTTTTAAGCTAATTATTAAAAAGTACTAAAGAGTGAAATTATTGTTTACTTCTTTATAGTCAAAGATTCAGTTGAAAGACATTTAGTTTGATGCAGTCACAGTGTTTGAGGTAAGAACGTTTATAGAAGAAAATATAATTTTTACATTCAGCATTCCTACTACATTCCAACACTAATTGATTATATAAATAATTCGGGAATAACCACTTTGTAGATATTGACTTTTTTTCATTTACAAAAAAGTTGGTCTGAGATTTAAAGTAATGAAGATTCAAAATGTTGTATTACACAAAAACAACTTCATATTTTAATAATGTGTACACATTAGAAGATTGTGGGTTAATTGGTTGCAAAGTGTGAGGATCAGTTGTATATATTTTATACTGCCTGCGACTTGTTGGGCGTTTTGCTTGATGATGTCGCCTGGAATTGATTTCGCTTTTCAAACAAGCCCCCGTTTCCACTAAAACAAGAGTATCTACAAATGTTAAAAATGTAAATTAGGTCAGGCATAGGCATTTGTAGCAACAGCCAAAGCGTTACTCACAGCGGAGAAAATATACGATGTCTCGTTGCAGTAATTTCGGCTTTCAAAACCTTTTGTTCCTGCCCGATATCACGCCTTATGCATTTTTGAGTGTCATTCCATCCTTTCTCCAGCCTCTCGACATCAGCTTTACAATACTGAGCTAAAATTTGTTTTAGAAAATATATTTTAGTTACATTTTTGGAAAAAATAATTTATTACCTTTATTTATAGTGTGGTCGAAGCTGTTGGTAAGTTCACACCCTCCATTTTTAAGTTTTGCTCCATCAAAACTGAAATAAATGACATTTATTTGATTTTTCTTGTGGGGGGTAGAAGAAAAAAATTATTTTTTTCCTTTTTTTACAGTTAAGTAATAACAGAACTTTTATATTTTACAATTTAGTTCAACTTTTGTAATTTTATTGTTTCTAGTTTTATTTTTAAAGCATGTCATTATGTAAGGATTGTCATGAGTTGCCACGATATTGCCAATTGTATGCATTTTAACTTCTCATGGGTAGCTAAATTGACCAGAATCGGGGGACAATTATGGTAAAGGAAGGACAACACGAGGACTACTATGCATCACAAACCGGGAAAAATGTAGTATGCATCAAGCACCAGTTAAATGTTTGCTTAAGAATATGATGGTACACTCACGTTTCTCTTGTAATAGTGTACATGCTAGAGTTTAGAGGAGGAGGTACAGAGATGTCATCATCCTCATCCTTTCCCATATTCATTTCTGCTCCATTTCCAGGTTCTCGGTTGCACATGTCCCTCAAATTTGGATTCGAAGCCCCATCAGGATGCCTCAGTGATGAAATGCTTGTCCTATAAATCGAAACTTTATTCCAAGAAAAAATAAAAAAACAAAAATTCATTATACATTTTGCGAAAACTGTGAAATCTCGTGTCCTGCTTAGCCCATGCCATATTGGCCTCTTCTTTCACCTCCAGATTTACTTTACAATTGTCACAGAGCTTACTCTCTCCCGGAAAGTAAGCAGGTTCACTTGCTATGCTATTCACATCAAAGTCATTAGCTGTTCCGCTGATGAACTCCGAAAACATGAGTGATTGGCATCGTGAAACCGGTTTCATCTCGTTGACAATCCTCTTGGCGTTGTACAGATCATGGAGCGCAGTCAACTGCTCGTACTGTGCCACTGAACAAATAGTTGTTACAAATATGATATAATTATAATAATGAAATTTTACTTTTTTTAGCAAGGATATCGGCGTTGTTAGCTTTCGTCTTCTCCCATATGTTGCCGCCTCCAACCAGTGTTGAGTTTCGAGGAAACAGCCTTTCCAGATCGTTAACAATTGATAGTGAATCTGTAAATATCTTTATTTAGATTTAAATTAATTTAAAAATGAAATAGAGAATAAATTTACCAGTAAATGTAGACACTACGGTCAAATTCTCCTGACTTAGTATTCTTAATGGGTGCTCCTCTTGGTCCACCTCTGGCAAAGGGTTTTCAACTTCTCCCATACAAAGAGCGATATCCTCTTCTGTTACCTGAATAAAATGTTCATTAAACATTACAACTACATTCGATATGGACCAATACAGAAAGATTTGATTTCGATGAACTTTATTTTGTTTAAAATAGATTATCTTTTTAAATGTGTGGTGTTTATGACCGTTAGTAAATGGTTATTTAGAGATCGCGAGATGCGGTCTGGTATGACGTAGGTTTAGAAAAACATTTTCTTTATAGTGCCAACGTTTCGAACTTTATTAAGATCATCTTCAAGGCCTGGGATTTATAAACATTGCTTAAATTTTAAAAAATACATGTAGGATGTGAACAGAAAAGTGAATTAATAGAATGCTAGAAATTTTAGATTCACTCAGATTATTTGTACTCACTCAAATTGTTTGTTTTCTGTGTAGATGTGTCGTTCTTGTGTGTCGTGTTGAGAGAGAGCCAGTGAGATATTGATGTTTTATATTGGCTTTTGAAAAGATGGGGAAGGAAGTCGGGATAGAAAGATATTTTTATATGAGGAGTGGGCTTCTCTGAGGTGAAAGGAGCCCACAATGGGAAAGAATGGGTAATGGGTCGGCCTGATTATCATTTCAGGATTATATAGAAGGGGATAATTAGGGAAAGGAAAGCCGAGTAAATCTACACTCATCTGTAAAAAGTACAGCAGACCAATCATCCAAAGACCAATGGCTGTGTTCTCGAGCAAATGGGAGCCGTACAACTCTGTGTTTTACGGTCAATTCTGTTCGTCTTACTGGACGAAAAGCCATCAGTCCATACTGATTTAATCTTCTTCGAGGAGAAAGTTAAAAATTTGGACACCTCCAACTTCCTGGAGCTGATGAATCACTTGAACAACTATAAGGTGCTGGTTTCGCAGAATTCTCAAAGTCAAAAAACGGTCATCTTGTGGTTCTGTTACCCTAGGACTTTCAGAGCCGGGCCTTCAATGGTAGGACCCAGTTTCTCGAAAACGTCTAACGGCATCTCGCCGAGTTTCTTAGGGAACTCCGATGGCAATAGCCGCATACTTGATGGAACAACAGTACGGTGCCGGTTTCGCAAAAATCTCAAAGCCAAAAAACGGTCATCTTGTGGTTCTGTTATCCTAGGGCTTTGAGAACCGGGCCTTCAATGGTAGGAGCCAGTTTCTCGAAAACGTCTAACGGCGTCTCGCCGAGTTTCTTAGGGAACTCCGATGGCAATAACCGCATACTTGATGGAACAACAGTAAGGTGCCGGTTTCGCAGAAATCTCAAGGTCAAAATACGGTCATCTTGAAGTTCTGTTACCCTAGGGCTTTGAGAACCGAGCCTTCAATGGTAGGAGCAAGATTCTCGCAAACGTCTAACGGCGTCTCGCCGAGTTTCTCAGAGAACTCCGATGGCAATAGCCACATACTTGATGGACATCCATCATCAATAAGTGCCACACCATGCGCCACATCCTTAGTACTACGTGACATTTTTAAGTATAAAAATTGAAATTAAGAAAACAAAGATGAAAACTAAACAGTTTATGGCTTCAGAATTCAAATGAGACTGAGTATACATTTTAATTTCCGTAAAAAGTAAACATTGAAAAATCCTTTATTCTTGTTGTGAATTAAGGATTAAGTGTGTTTACGTCTAATTTATATTCTCCCTTTAAAACAGCGTAAACAAATATTTATTAATAACAACAATGAGATAAATTAAGGACAGAATTTTCTTTTATCGAGAAAAAAAAAATGAATTGGGTGGAATTTTTTGCCTATCAGTTTATAAGGACTGTTCTTCCTTACCACTTTGAAACATTCGCCATTTTCAATATGCATGAAATTGTACTGGAGTGTGTATAACAGGATTAATATGAGGGCTAGTGAAAACATTATTGATGCACACACTCTAAATATATATGAAAAGTATTTTAAGATATTTAATTAATACCTGGAGGCAACAATCTTGCATTGGAACCGGCTCAGCTGGTTCTTCCACTTCTATTATTTCTACTTCCATGTCTTCATCGTACTCCTGATCTACACCAGAACACTCCAGCTTTTCTAGTGGGACTACTAACATAAAAAGCAAGCACAACAATTATAAGAAAAGCCTTTCAATTCATTGTCTAATACCTTTGTTGACAGGTAGTAAATGTGTGGTTTGGTTGGAGCTTCCTTCATCCTCTTGTCCGCTGGCTCGTCCTCTAGCCTCGTCTGTCGATCGGAACTGTTCCTTGTGGTGCCTAGACTTGCCGACATGCATGCTCTGGTTTTCGACCCACTTTCGTATCATGTTCTTCTTGTGACTGTCCATGAAACCGTAATTATGCCCATTAGAAAGTTTGGGCCCGTCGACCCAAGTCTCTTTTTTCTCCCTGCCCAAGTGTATGTTGCGACCTTCGGTGACCTTCGACTTGAGGATCCGTGGACCGTCGATCCATTTCTCTTCTCTAGAGGTTTTCGCCTGCCTCACCGGGGAAGACCTTGTGCTGTTGGGTTTTGTGGCCTTTCTCTGTGTTGGCTTTTCTTCTGGTGCGGATCTTTGTGGTGAAGCCGGGACCGATCTGGAGACGCTTTTGATTTTCTGATCTACTAAAGATCCTCGAAGTGCTTTGCTCATAGCGCAGCGGTTGTCACCTATAATTTTAAAATATGATATAAACACAATTAAAATTACGTACATTACATAAAAATAAAATACATTAAAATGTACAATTAAGCATATAAAATAGTATTGCTAACACATTTTTCCAGTTTGAGAGTATAAGCAATCCATACATTTTGTTTTAATTATGTTGTTATTAACTGAATAAGAAGAAAGCAAAACATTTTATTCAGGAAAATGCTTATTTTTGAATTACAATAACTAGGTTTCAGAAATTTAATATCAAAAAGATGCATAAGGAAAGCGTGATGTTTATAAAATACATAACTTTTCTAGTTGCCATACAAGTTTATTATAGAGAGAATGTGTGAGAATGAAGAGATTAAATTCATAGTAAATTATGCAATGATAAAAAAAAACACAGAGTACTGATATAGATTGGCTATATTTCTTCAGTTTTTCTTAAAATCTATAGTATTTTAATTTTTATTGAACTTTTCCATATTCTGGCTATCAGAATTGCTGATTATCAGTTGTATTACATTTAAAACTTGACACATTCTAAATTTTTTATTGCTTTTATGTAAAATTTGCGTACTGAATTAGTCAATTTATTATTAATTAATTATTAGGTAACCGTTTTCGTTCTTCTATATCTAATAATAATATCAATATAAGTACATCCTACCAGAATTAAGACTAGGTAAATAGACAGGCGGATGTTCTCCATCGGTTTCATCTGTTGGTCCAACGTAAATGACCGTATCGGCGGACTGTTCGCTACTGGAAGGATCAATGTCACTACTCCCTGTCAACCTGCACCCTTCTTCACCAGCTATGGCTCCGCCGTTTGCAGGAAACTAAACGAAAGACAAAAGTACTAAAAACTGAAAATTTACCAAGAAAATACTTTTACAGGGTTACCTTAAATCTCTTCCGCCTCATTCTGTGAATCCTGGAAGCGAGATGAACTGTGGTAAGGGTGTCCGTGTAACAGGATTCTTCTGGAGAGACGTGAGCAATCATGGCAGCGTGGCATGTGAGTGAGCCAAGACATTCTTTCAACTGCTGGCTCAATTTGTGTTCTCTAAATTTGGATATATTATCATTTTAGCAATACATCATCAAATCATTTGAATACCGAAAATTTTAATTGTAATTTTTTAATGTAAATCCTAAAAATCATATTATTTTATTACCTATGAGGTATGTGCTTTTGACCATTGAAAATCGCTAGAAGAACATTACCAATACCAGAAAGAGGTAGACCAGTGCCTTTGCTTCTTTCACATCCTCCAAGGTCTATTAGATGCAGCCTGCTCCTGCCTCCTGCGACTGGAACAATAGAAAGATGAGAACGTGCATAAGAACCAATTATTCTTAGTATAAACATAGAATAATCTAAAAGTCTTTGACCAGTTACCTCCACCTTTGCCGGCTACGCTGTACTGATAGACGTGCAGTGTATAGAATAAATGAGATTGTTCTGATGATCTTACAGTAAGGGCATTGTCGAAAAAGAAACCCGCCTTTTCTGGGGTTGGCGCCCTTAACTCGCAGTAGTTCTGAAGAGCTCCCTCACATAAGTAGATCCCGGGTGACTGTTCACATTCTGCAATAAAAATATTGCAAGTTACCAAAGCGACCACAGTTAATGTTCAAATTATCATATTAACAGATTATTTCAACAAAGTAACATAACTAATTTTTTACCATTTTCTTAAATCAAAGTAGTTGTTTATAGCAAATATAAGGTAAGGTGATAATAATGCTTAAAACGATTCTTCATGATTTAACTTTTATTGATCAATTTTAGTTTGGTTTGTTGAATTGCAAAAAAAATCGCACTGCAAGGTATGGAATAAGACTTCATAGTTAGTTCCGGCTTTACTTGGCGCATGAATATATTGTAATTTTTTTCACATGAAATTGACAATGACTGTGGCAAAAATATGAAAAGTTAAACGTAAAAAGAAGTGGATATATTATCTAAAAAACAAGAAAAAACCTATTTAAAAATAGAAAAGAAAACTTCGAAAAAATTAAAGTTGTTCAATTATTAAAATTGAAATAACATTGTTAATGTTTTTATAATAAACAAAAGCTAATCCAACCTGTAGCCATTTGAGAGTCTCGATCTATTACTAACTCTGCTTTTATATGGAAACTAACTTAATACCCCAAAAATGCCACCCTCATACGCGTACTATTTCGAGCAAAACCTTTGAAATTTAATTTACCATCTACGGCAATCACTGTCCAGAAGTGCTTCAAATTAAGGAAATAAGAAGATAATTGATTACCAAAAATTCTTGAAAAAAGCTATGAATTCAGTCAGTAAAAAATATCTGAAGGGATAGTAAACGACATAGACCAGACATCTTGGATTAATTAATGATCACATTGTGAATATAAATTTTCTGTGAATATAAAAGTCATAAATGCCTACAACGACAATTAGCAGAAATGGTAATGATAAAAGCACTCATGGTATGACAAAAACCAACAATAAACCGAAAATTAAAATTTTTACTTTCTTTTCTTACCAAGAATCATACTCCTAGATTCGAGAAGCACTGCTGTGAAACAAGCAGAACATCATAACGAAAATCAATGAGTAAAGGTCAAGGGTGATCTTGTTGATAGTATTTTTTATGAGTAGCATTTTAACACTAACCCTAGATATACACATAAACTGATAAATTTTTATGCACTATTTACCGACCAGGCCAAAACAGTAAGAATATCAATAGAAAATTGTTTTAAATAAAATCCTTTCTTACAGTGTACTTTAATCATATTAAACAACCAAACATCTTCATCTTGCTGCATCTGTGCATTATTTGAAACAATCCAAAATTCTTAATAACTGATATTTTATAGTATCAGCAACTTGTTCAGGAATGCACGTGCAACATTTGCCTTTCTACCAATCTATAATAAATTAATTAATAATTAATAAGTAAATTATTTTTGACGTCGTGTTTAAACTTTCTTAACATAAGCAGAAAGAAGTAATTTTTTTTAGAGCAGAAGTAATATAAAAATGTTCAACCTAATTATTTTCTCCAAACGTAACATTTGACCGTTTATAAATTGACAATTTAGCGATTCTATTTCGATTTCTGCTGTTATAAGATAGAATTTTTGTTCTCTTATTAAAACGGAAGGCTCACGTTACCGGCCTTTTCCTTTACAGTGATCTCCGTGTTTTCTAGGCAGTAAAACATTACTGCCTCTTCCAGGGCCGAGAGAGGGCTTGGGCGGGATAGATAGGGGCAAAATACCTGATGTTCTTATACTTGACGCCGCACACTTCATTACAATAAACCCCGTGGTAACCTCCACTTTAACGACAAGCCGACGGGTAAAAAGTTATCAACATCCAACGGTTAACTGACAGGGGTACAAATCAAAAAAACAATAAATTTGTAAGGAAACATTTCCTGTTGGTAATAATATGTATACTCTCTAATAATAATAAAATCATCCCCCATTATTACAATAATTGCACAAAACATAAAGGTAAATCTACTGTAAGAATAATTTAATTTCTTTATTGTTTGCTTTTGTCAGCTTTCGTCAGTCCATTTTTCAAATAATAATAATTATTTAAACTGGAAGCAGAAATCGCTTTCATTTGCTGTAATTTCTTAATAAACGAACGTAAAAAATGATTAACGAATAATGGAAATATGGATTTCGTGCGTAGTAGACAATTGCTTAAAATAACTTATTTCGTCAGTATTACTGTAATTCGTCTGAAACAAAGAAGTGCTTGCTGAATGTAACAATCCAGCAGGTTTTCCCAAGTTTTTGATACAAAAAAGTGACCAGTGGTAACCCACCTTACATTGCAAATATCCCAAAACCGTTGCTACTTTTTTAGATGTCAAGTTTCGTCGACGTCCAACGTCACTATTTGTATTTCAAATGGGAAATCAAAATTTTTAAATTTTTTTGAGACACTAGTCTTTTTTTGACAAGAATGTGTACCACAAATTTGGAACACCTCCAAAATTGACGGCTTTAGGATTTTTGAGACAATTAAAAAATTAAGTAAATTTCATACAAAATGTTTATTAAACGCAAGTTTTCATTTCCTTTTTTCCCCATGAGGTCTGTAGGAAAAGGAAACAATTAACATGATAATTTAATTTATTGTTTAAAGTTAGGTTTTAAAAAATCTACACAATTTTTTAAATGTTTTTATTAAATTAAATTTTTATTGTTCTACCTTTTTTTTATCAGGTACAGGATGAATTAAAATGATACTCTAGGTAAATCAGGTTCTGAACGAAAATTTCAATATCTCCGGAACAAATCGGTGAACTTTAGAGTATCTGGTATCCATTTTTTGATTATGAAAATTATTCGAAGTGTGTGAAAAAATAGAAAACATTATATTTGAAAAAAGAGCTAATCATCCGATAGGTTTAATGCGCCAAGTTATTAAAATTTTAATAACACCAGCAGATTCTACGTGGAAAATAACCTTTGGAACGTAAATAGTTGTACAATAAAATAGGCAGCGTAAAACTGAAAGGCCGTGTCGTATAAAAGCTCACACGGTATTTTGATGTAGTTATAAATATTCACTGACTAACTCATAATGTTGAAGATGTATTTTGAGGGAAAACTTGTTTAAGACCGTTCTTTGAATATAAAACAAGACTTGAAAAAAATTCAAACAAGATCTAGCTTTTGAAAAGTAGTTCATACAAACTCTCGGGTGAAAGGCTGTGCAAACAAACATATTGATGAGAAAATGTATAAAAAACAAAAGAAAAAAACCGTTCTTAAAGCATATACTTATAAATCAAATTACGCAATAAATAAGCAAATGATAGGTAATCTATTAGGTTCAATTGTGGTACGTATCTTCTCTATCATAACTCTAAAAAAGAGAAAGAAAAATCCAAATGTTAAGAAATGTTCAAAAAGTGTACTTATTATTGTTGTTTATGAAATCTTCATTGGGGTGGAAGAGTAAAGAAAATGGTTCCAGATATTTTATCCATGTTATAAATTCATCTCGAATAATGTTTTAACAAAGACGTTAACGACGTAATTTAAAGGGCATGACAGTGGCTCCATAATCGTGTCTAGGCCCATGGCATTCCCAAGTTATGGCACATAACCCCCTTGGGTTTTATTAAAGAAATAATAATAGTTTATGCGACGGAGACCTTATGTGTGGACACTAACCGTAGGGCATTAGGCCCACGCCATCACTAAAATCGGAATTACAGAAGAGGGTTTACCTCAATATAGTCAGGGTTTCGGTAAAAATCTTACAGATTGTCTACTCGACATGAATACAGAGAGCCACCCATCCACGAGGGGAGATAACAGAAAGGAATTGACCGCCTTCGGCCAAGTAATCATAACTTTTTATTCCCCTCCTGGCTCTGCCCGACGGCGTAGATATCGGTCTTTCATTCTAAATACTAGCCCGGAGTTGAGACTTTAGCTAAAAGGGATTTGCCTTTCTGATTGGGAATCTGGAAGGGGATCAACACGAAATCTGCCAAATCAAGAAAAACGACCTTTCCCTCTTGACGTATACATAAATAGCGAGATTTCCTTTTCTCTTCACACATTAAAGAGACATTTTTTCTTTCGCTGTCTACTGTATCAAATAAAATAATCAAAGAGGATTATGTATTTAAACTGTTATATGAATGTTATATGAATTGTTCAATTAGTCAACATAATATTTACATACTGTAACTGGTGAGTCAGTTTTAAAGGTACTACAGGGAAAAAGCGTTAGTTGCATACAAATTTAACTCATCTGTGCTTTACCAATGTAAAAGCAGAGGCAAGTAAGATTTCGACGAACCATAGGAAATATATGCATCGGGCTTTTATGTTATTTTGTTGTTCTTAAGTCAAACGTAATTCAGTTTTAAATTATTTCGGATTTTTGTACGAGGGTATTTAACACAAAGTTATATGAACCCTCGGGGTGTTTTTGAAAAATAAATGTGTAGTACATATTGATATATTGATGTTATTTAATTCTTTTATCAGGTCTAAAGAATTGTTGATACCGAATGTAGGTTTGAATTTCGTCTGGGTTTTAATTATTTTGTCAATTGTACTTGCAAGTTTATGGCATGGGGAATTATAAAAGGATACTACTGGTCTTATAGGTTTGTTTTCCTTATGAATTTTAATTTTAATTAATTCTCTACACCGTAATATAAATTTTACATTGGAAATTGGCAAAGATGGATGTTTGAACTTTTTAGACCTAAAACTGTCCATAATAAACAACCTAATAGAAATAGACGTATATAGAAAACCCACAACTACAGACACTATGATACCAGCGGATTCTTCCCACCCATGGTCCCAAAAGGCTGCTGGTTTCATTTGGCTCATAGACCGGATGTTAAAACTTCCGCTAACACCTGATAACTATAAAAAAGAATTAAAAACTATTAAAACCTTAGCAAAAAACAACGGGTATCAAGAAATATTTATTGATAGGTTGCTAGTTAAAAGAATAAAAAAATTAACTTTAAACGAATCAACAATAGGACTCAGTCACCCCACCACAAATGAATCAGTAGGTTTCCGTTGTTTGCCATACATTGGTGAATTATCGGAAAAAGTTAGTAAAATTTTTAAACAAGAAGGTTTTAGAATAGCTTTTAGAAGTACGGGTTCACTTAAAAACATCCTCTCAAAACCTAAAGACAAAGTAGACAACTTGGCAAAAAGTGGGGTTTACCAACTCAATTGTAATGATTGTGATATTAAATATATAGGACAAAGCGGTAGAGAAATAAAAACAAGAGTAAAAGAACACTTGCCTAAATCGAGCAAATTTTCGGAATTTAAGGACCATCTAAAAGAAACAAAACATAATTTCAATTCAAATTTAAATACAAGAGTGTTACATAGTTTCAACAAAGGGAAAGAACTAGATTGGTTTGAGAAATTTGAAATTAAAAAATGTAAAATTGAACATGGTGATAAATGCATTAATAATATAACAGATTTTGATCTACCTCCCATTTTAAATATGTACATAAATAATATCAAACATCCAAATAATTAATCTAATTATTTTAATTGTTATTATTTTTATAGTAATTTATAGTAATATTAAGTATTTATTATTCTAATATTTATTTGTGTTATAATTTCCGCGTTTCGCACGTTCAAATTGAGCGTCATTAAAAAAATCAGCTGATAATTGGAACGTCGCGTTGGCGGAGGTATCAGCGGTTCACTTTGGCAATTCATGTCGAGAGACGTGGTTGTGGAAGTCCTTCAACCTGATGATGAGCTAAAAGGCTCGAAATCCGGATCGTTGCAAAACAACTTACTTTTTACCTTTTGGAAAGTATTGAACACCACACTCACTCCATCATTTATCATTTCTATAAATGTGTAGTGATTAGTGACCGTTAGTGGATGATTATTTGGAAATCGTGAGATGCGGTCTGGTGTGACGTAGGTTTCAGAAAATGTTTCAGAAAACGTCACACCAGACCGCATCTCACGATTTCCGAATAATCATGAAAAATAAATGTTTATAAGTATGCCTGGTTTTAATGCAGGGCCGCAGGTTAGAACCCAGGACTTTTACCTTATAGTCAAGTGCGCCGTGTCAACCCCAAACCGATGCGGCCACCAAAGCCCCCTTTTTCAATTATTGTTATTACTATTAGTATTATTTTTTTAAGGGGCATCCGACAGTCTGGTCATTTCAGCCCCGAGCGCATGCGAAATACAACAACACACACTCAAGTAAATACATTCACTTATATGCATTGCATTCATTGTATTTAGTTGATGGGGTACTCAATATTCCTCCATCAACTTGCATACAATAACAAAACAATCTAATTGGGGTCGATGGGATACTTTTATAAATATTCCGCCATCAACCAAATCACGTAAACAGCTCGTGGGGAGAGGGGGATGCTATCCCACCATCAGATCCTACCCATTCATTTTAATTAATACACTCACTCATACAAAACACATATTTTGACTATTCAATAAAAAATGCCAATTCCCATAAAAAGCGGAACAGGGGACCCTAAAACTCGTTCTTAAATTTAAAAACTTTGTAAATCTGGTGGCATGCCTACAATGACACGCCTCTATTATGTGGGACACATAAAGCAACCTTCCATTTTTATTATTAATTGTCGATGTGAAATAAAGAAGATTTAATTTAATAGGGTGCGTGTGTTTGTTGTGTACAAAGAAGGATAGTTAATAATTATAAATAAATACTAAAACTATTTATTTAAAAAACCACAAAAGTTGATAAAATCGTTGTTATCATCATAATTAAAAGAAGAAAAAAATTACCTGATGCGTGTTGGCTCAAGAGATCTTTAAGCATATACGATGGTCCTGCCACTTCTACTGCAGACACTCGGACCGAGAACCTCGCACCAGTTTTCTGTTTTTGTTCTGCGATACATTTAAAAAGCCAGGATATGGCACACGGAATCACTCCCAACTGGTCCGCTTTTGGCTGACCAATCATGGTGTTGGATTTTCCTGAAATAGAAAAAATTAACTGAAATCGTTGGGGGTTACTACACGCCCGGCAACCTCAACCTCTACATCAAGGCATTGTTAACAACGTGAAGCATACATGACTAACTCGTCTTCAAGTTTACTCGTTACCGGGCGGACTGCTCTTATTAGAAACCACCTGCCAGCCTCACGGGCCCTCTGTTTTGTCAAGTAATGAATCCCAAATACTCGTGCTTTCTCGTTGCGCGCAATAAGCCAAAATAAACAATAATGGCGGAACGTTACAATTTAATCCCAGGCCTTTCATTTGAACAAACAGAATAAACTGTTTAATTACTGGGTAATAAAACACTTAATGACGTGCGGTTAAAATGAGCGACGGTGCTCATCCTCGATGGGCCCGGCCTCCGCCTCTAAAAATGAAATTACAACTTTCGTCCTAATTTGAAATTCTACGTTGAACATTTTTTATACCTGAGATTATTTTTCCATTACGCTTCCAATAGCCGACGAAACAGGTTGAAAGGTTTTTAAGTCCATTCTTGTTGAATATTAAACTTTTAAATATCGCACAATTTTTACATGAAATTACAACGATACAGTGATCGAGGTTGTGGCCAATATTGGAGGTATACCAAACATTAGTAATGATAAATTATTTTAAGTAAAATGGTTGGTAGTTTGATTATTAAAAGATGATAACTCTTCTGATCAGAGACAAAGGGAACAAAAGATGATAACAATATGTAAAACATATTGTTGGATCCAAACTAAAGTGCACAAAAATGAATAGGGATATAGCCAATTCTGTTGTATTTAATTTTCGTAGCATTTTTATTTTTATTATAAATTGCATTAAAATTGATTAGAAATTAGTATGTTTTTTATTGAAGGAATATTTAATTAAGGAATTTTGAAGAGTAACAAAATAAAAGGTTTTATTTCTTTATATCCTTTTAGTCCTCGATAATTTCTTGGACATAACGGATTGCGGTGAGGTTTCCTTCAGCAAAGTACAGTTCGTCCTCCAGAGTAAATCCCAGCCCACGGCCTCCTCCAAACTGCACTGAAGGGTCACCAAATTATTATTATTACTATTATATAACTAAAATTAATAGAATAAGTATAAATTCCAAATATCCCTATTATTTTTGAGCAGTTTAGATAATAATATTACAACATATTATCATACTGTCGTATGTCTCTTTTTTTATTCCACTTTTCTAAATGTTTGGCAATTAAAAGATAAAACATGAATATTTATTATTAATAAATAACTCATCATAAGTTAGAAAAACATTACGACTTTTGATTCAAGAATATTTCAAAACCTAATTAGGGTGATCAAAAAATGATCATTTATTTAGTTATTACTGTATATAAAAAAATGACTTGAGCAACACCTACAAATTTGATAGATCTTTAAGACCACGATGCAATGGAAAGAGAAGCCAGCCAGTGTTTTGTATTTGGGCCTAGGGTCGGGTCAAGATAGGAGGTCACGAGGCCATCGCAGTTTTAGACGGGGTGGAAGATTATGAGGAAAATTATATCTTAGACCTAGAATGAAAATTTTGGACTTGTGTTAAGATCAAATCCTCCTCGGACGGGAAGTTAAGGTCTTTGTGAATCTATGTGCTGATGTTGAAGGATTCGGCCGAGCCCCACAACTCAATTTCTTAAGTCCAAATCGGTTTAATGAGTGTTTTGTAAGCGGTTAGTTTGTTACGTGCTTAGTTTAAATTTTGGTTCATGTAGACGTCTGTGTTTTCATTGTATTTAAGTTATTGTTTTAGTCTTGTACATGAGTTTCATGTAAATATGGTATCAGTAAAGCCCAAGCTAGCGGACTTGGTTGGATGGAAGGATTATTTTGATATTCATGTCCACTGGTGGGCAAGTCTAATGTAACTTCACGCTTTTTAACTCGTTTTAAACTTATTCGCCAAAGGGTGTACTGACCGTTAATGAGATCCAGGATTTTTGGTATTCACTATAGTACCCCTATATAGAAAGCTTTTCTTTCTCCGCTCCCTTCATATTTGCAGGATTTCTATATTTCAATAATTGAGATAAACGAATTTAGAAAAATAAATAGAAATTAAATGAAACAAAAGTAAATTTTACACTTACTTAATTTGAACATAACTGAGTTAAAATAAATTAAAATTAATTTTATTAACACAATTTTCAGTGTGCAATGTTAAGAAATCAAGTCACTTAGATGTAATGATCGTGGGTGTCCGTTTGTTACCACGTTCTTCAGAAAGTTGGAACGTGTTGACTCATGGAGAGGAGCATTACATTTGTCGTCTTCCTCCAGACCGAATCTATGTAGGGATGCTTCATGCGTGCCGTTAAGCTTATGTTCATTGTCTATTTCCACTCGAAAGTGTAAGTTGTGTCTAGAAATCATGGTGTGAAAAGATTTTTTGGTGTGCTATGGTTAGTACTATTTTCCTAAACACTTATCTTATATTCATTTATGTATTTTCTCAGCATTTTAACGTTCTTTTTCTTGTGAGCTGTTTCGTAAAGGACAGAGTTATCTTGTAATCTACAGGCACTTGCCTGTGCATAGCTGCTTTTTGTGCCGTCCTATCCGCTTTCTCATTTTCCCTGCTTTCCGATGTCACCCTTTAGCCATTTTATTCATATACCCGCTTTTATTTTATCTAAGTTAGTATAAGATTAATCTTATTCGCCTGCGACTTCATAATGGACATTATTGTTGGATAGAATTGACAGAATAATTCACTACCCGTCCATATGATAGCTCAGCAGGTGTTCGTTTACTAACACATCTTATTGACTTCAGTATAGTCATCGACCTGATTATTAGACCAGTATTTGCGAAGCCTATATTTTTCTGTGAGGACCTCTTCAGTACTTTTTTCCAGATGTTAGACTGCTTCAGTTATTAAGCTAGGTTTGGAATGTGTAGTATGTCAGTTGTAGACTGTGTAGAAGATTGGTACTAGGATTCTTGGAAGAAGAAAAAGGACTCTTGGATGAGATAGTATATTAATAGTTTGTTGAAAAATTGTAAAATAACAAATGAGGATGAATGGTTCACCTAAATTGCAACTAAGAAAAAGTAATAAAAAAACATAACTTTTCAATAATCATCATGAATCCTTTGATTTAGGTTCTTTAAATACAGGGATTGAGTAATATTTAATTGCATCACACTACAGATATTTTTTTCTGTGTAATATTCTACTTGCAGTATATATATATTTTATTTGGCCGAATTATTATCATCACAGAATATTTTCAATAGTGCTTTATGTATAAAAACCATTTGAGTGTATGATGAAGTACTCACCAAGTTTGGAATGTCCGAAGGAGAAGAGACAGCCATCAGTGCCATTGATGACCGCGTGGATGACATCCGTTAATCCAGTGGCGCAGAGCTCCCCCTGAAAGGACATCCCTTTAGTGCTTCACTCTTAACGCCACATCAATTATGTATACCAACTAACAGCCGGAACTTCCCAGCTGACCGACACTTTCCCCCGTTTATACAGGGTTTAACTTTAGATAATTGATTTCCCCGGAGTTTAAAACAACAGCGTGGAACGTTTGTGTTGTATTTTTTTTCGAGCTTTGTTTAATGTAATTGGAATAATTTTTTAAGTGGACAAATGCGACTTTCATTGTACGAGCAGACGATTTTTTCCCTTCTGTCTATCAAAATTTACCACTGGTAAACACATTTTTATCATAAGTTAGATTATAATATTCATATTTTTATTTACAATTTTGTAATATGGCTAATAGAGGATAATAATGATGAAAATATGTGAAAAACAACTTTCCCTGTAATAATCATTCTACATGCGTATTTACAGATTTTCAAATATTTATAAGTTGGTCGTTACCGATCATATCGATGGTCTGCTCTATCAGACTATAATTTTGCAATCTTCTTTGAGTCTGACCTAAATTCCAGGTTTATCGCCTCGCAGATATTATTATATTTTTGAGAAAATGGGATTTTAAAGAAGAAATTACGATACTTTTTAAAACTTTTTGTTTCCATAGGAAGGCGCGTTGGCGGCTGCAACGTTTAAGGTCGCTCATAACTACTGTAAGGTGTAAGGTACAAGTTTGGATCCGACATACTTACTAATGTACTTTTTTTCAAAAACGTCGACTCCCCGAGTTTTGATATGACCTCTGCTGATGCGCACTAAATATGTGCTAATGAGTGTATGGTACAAATAAAGCAATAAAAATAAATGAATACAATTTCGAGAAAATAATATTACCACATTAAGTATAAGTGTTTTTACTAAAAAGGGATGACCGGGTAGTTGGGTAACGGATTTGGGCGAAACAGTTTTTTTTGTGATTATAACTCCATAATTTCGGACACGTATCCGCGACAACATATGAATAGACCCTGGTTTCGCCAAAAAAAATTGAAAATTGAAATTTTCTCTTTTTACTATTTTTATTTCGCTGTTCTATTTGCTCAAATCAACTATGTGAATATATCATTTTACAGTACAGCATTTTTTAAGTAAATTGAAATAAAAATATAGAAAAAGCTATGAAAGTTTAGCAATAAAAAAACATTCTACAAACCAAATATTTCTCAAGTAAACTGGGTCATATTTTTTCTGCGAAACTACTAAAAATATGCGTTTTAGTTCCTCTAGAGATTATTAAATATAAAATTTTGTTTCAATTTCAATTTATCGATATTATGATTCCCAAAGTCTTTCCGATTTTTGAGAAGTCAGATCAGAATATCTTATTGAAATAGCTATAATTCAAAAACAGCTAAAAGGATTTTAATGTCAAGCAAACCATTTGAACGGAGAAGAACTTAGCTTTCTAATTTTGCAAGTACTATAAAGTATATAAAATATTTCTATAAGAAAATACACAAAATAGCAAAATTATTTGTTAGAAATTATCCTTATGTTTTGAATGAAAATAATAGTCCGATTTTAATGTTTGATACAGTAATTAAATGCACTTGACAATTTCTTTAAAACTAATTATCAACCGTAAAAATCGGACCACTAGCTTATGAGAGTTATGCGCTCGAAATTATCAGTCTAAAGTCAACAAGTTTTGACCATTTTTTTTTTTACTTATTTTACCTACAGAATGTTTGTTGAAATAAGCAAAAAAGCAGTATTTCGTAGATTCATCTTCTTAATTAATACCAAATTCTGCGTCGTATTTCCTATAACATTTTTGTGGTTATGTTAACCAACAATGAAATTAATACACCAAAAATAATATTTTTTTAATCCCCAAAAACTATTTTTGCTCATTTAATTGCGACTAAAATTAAATTTTGAAAAAGCTTTATTAACCCGATTAAATTGATTTATTAAGAATTCCTTTAAGTCTATTTATAATGAACACGTTGGTATTGGATAAGTGCGGGTATTTATGAAATTACTTATTCTCATTTTTCAACAAAGCTTCTTTAGGTTTGTTAGCAGAAAAAGGCCAGAAGTTATTTTGATGTTGATTACTGTAATTCAGTAATATTATATATAGCCTTTGCTTAGCTTATGCAGGTCCTCTTGTAAGTTATTATTTTTAAACTTACAAAGACGAACTATAAATTTATTAGAAACTTCGTCAAAGTTTGAAGGTTTTACTTTTTTTGGTGTGCAAATGAAAGGGTGGTGAGGCTAAACGATTTATAGATAGGACATCATTTATGAACAACCAAAATAAAATCACTCTTTAGTATTAAATTAGTTTAAAATGAGTTTAATCACAGTTTGATTCCAATGCAACGATATCTTACTTGGTTAAATCAGTATCTTTGAGAAATAACAACGATCATAATTATGCAAGGAATTCTGTTTGAGCAGTAAGGATTGCTTACCCTGAATCATATACGCGGTGACTATTCTAATCGCCTGATCGATTTTAAGCACTTATACGTAAACCTTTAAAGCAAGCTACTCTGGCATACCTAGGTTCTCTCCACCGTGTTAGTCCACAGGGCGTCAAATGTTAAACTTTTGTAGTAATGAACGTGAACAATCGGGCTTCTGAGAGAAACAAAAGATGGCTTCTCTTTTGTTTGAACGACGGGACGTAACGGTTTCGACGTAATCCTACAAAGCCCACGGATTAGACTTACCTACACCTTTGTTCCATTTCGGAAGAAACACTAAGGTAAATCGTGGAAGCCGACTGATCCGTAACAAACAGCTTTCCAACTGTTGTTCACTTGCTATTGACGCTTATCCGATTAAATTAGACTAATTGTAAGAATGTAATAAAGCAAATTGTCTAAGAACAACAATAATATAACGACTTTCATAGCTTGAAATGTTTTTCATAAATTTGATATACAGGGTGTCCTTTTTATATGGCCCGGCTAAATTTCTTTTGAATCAATGGCGCTTCAAAAAAAAAAAAAAAATGTTAGGTTTCACGTTAACACCGTTTGTTGGAGAAAAATTATACAGGGTGCCTTAAGCCCAGTTCAACTTCAAAATTTCAAATACAACCCAGTACATCCTGGCATATCATTTTAACGGATTTTTTACGATGACAACAATGGTGTAATCGGATTTTAAATTGGTCAAAAAATAACAAAGTTATAGCACAAAGTAAACTTAAAAAAAAACAAAACAGACGTTTGGTTTCCTATTTATTAATCACCTTTCATGTTCAAACTGCCTGCCTTGCGTAAAGATGCAACGATTTGCTCTTTTTTCACCACTTTACCGGTGCTCAGAGCGATAGAGTCAGGAGAAATGGATTGACAAGCATTTTCTATCTTTTACAGCTGTCCTGGGGTTATTGGGTTATGATTGGTGTAGACATAGAAAATAGTCAAGTGGAGTTAAATCGGGTGACCGTGGAGGCCAATAGGCCATGCGGTCCGATCCACCTACCCCGGAAGTGGAGATTCAAATAACGTCTCACTTGAAAAGAATTGTGTGTGGGGCATCTATCAAGCTGGAGAATCATTCTTTGTCGTTGTTGAAGAGGATCATCATTAATAGTGTTGGTCATCTTGAGGTGAACTTGGATTCCTCAGTCCATAGTATGAATAGAAGAAAATTTTCTTTAGCCTCCCAAATCGACATTTGCGCAAAAACTTTAGAACTTCATAATCAGAGTCCCTAAGTCCCTGAGCAAGATGAGTGAAATACCAACATTTCGAAGAGAGGAATTCGGATTTTCGCGAACAGTCAAATATTCAGCTCCTCGTTGAAATTATGCTGCCGGTTTCATCGATTTTTTTTATATCGTCATTGGTCCAAGAGAAATTCAGCCGGCGATCTAAAAAGGACACGCTGTATGTGATATCAATACGGTATGTATAGTGTAGCATTGATTAATAAAAATAAAATGCTGGATTTTTCATAAACTTATCCAGGTGTTACTGAATAACTAATTTTTCATCATTTGTGCCATTTCCTAACTGATATCATGGTATTATGATTTTTATGTATATGATGTTTAAGCACTTAAAAAAAATTAATGTTACTATTATGTACACCTGCAACTTTAGTCACCATCAGTAAATGGTTACTAAGTAAATTTGGTAATTCATAACACGATAAAATTAAATAAGATGGGAGAAGCCACCACTCAACAAACAAATCCCTCGGACATTGCTTCTTCAGCTGTGCTGGATTTGTATGTTGGACGAGGGGCGTTTGGTTGTAAAAAAAGGGTATTGTGGAATTTCTGATAACGTAGACGAGCCCCAAACTTCCACTCCGTAGATCCACGTAGGACGAATGAGCGTTTTATAAAGGGTTAGATTGTTGTCAAGGCTTAGGTGAGATCGTTGGTCAAGAAGTCTCAGCAAGAGCTTGTAAATCCAGTTCATGCCTTGTCATGCGAATGTGTGGATTACACGTCAGACTTTTATCAATGTACAGCCCGAGGTATTGTACTATGTCATATAGTCCTGATGGAGGGTACAGTGACTTTCTTAGGGCGACAGTAACTTGAGCATATTTACTTTCATTCTTCATTTGAGTATCAGTATTCAAATAAGGTGAAGTTACTTTGCAGATAGGAGCTTACAACGGATGAATTAGAGTGAGAAGAGAGTATAGCCGTGTCAACCACGCAATTAGAATTTCTCATCTTCTTGGCTGTCACATGGTAAGTGTGAAACTCTCTTCAAAGCGTATTGAAAATTTAGTTTGATTATGTATTGCTCATTTTTCATACTTCAAACTCCATAACGTACCTAACGTAACGCAATGAGCATGATCATTCTCTTGTATACCATGATAAAATTAAACATGATAAGATAAGCCACTCACTTAATAAGCAAATCCCTAGTCTATTGTCTCTTTAGCCAAGGTGGAAAATATCCAGGTATCGAACGATCTAGAGGTCGCATTTGAAGATATCTTATTTGAATCTCTAAATCCAAGTTCTGACACAACACAAGCTCCTCATTACTAAAATAAATTATAATATTACTTGGATCAGTATTTAATATTTTATTATATGTGAGTTCCAAGGTAAGAGTTTTTTGTAAAAATTTTGTGAAGCTTTATAATCTGAAATTTCTACTTCACTTGAATATTACCACACTATATTCATTACTAATTTACATTATTACAATATGTATTCATGTTTATCACAATCAACAATTTATCACTTGTAAGTTTACATTTGTAAGTATTCAATTAATTAATCTTTTTATGTAAGTTCAATTAATTAAGGTTTTTAGTTGAGATAAAAAAGTCAGTGTCACGAGCGGGATTCGAACCGACGACCTTAGGCTTGATACGCCGCTCCTCTACCACTTGAGCTATCGTGACTTCGATCCACTCGGGCATTAACTTCCCATCTCAACCCCACCTTTTTGAATTTTCCCTCCTTTTTTCCATTTTTCAAATGTCATGTATCTATTTGATTCTCGGTGACAAATGAAATGGCCACAGAGAGCTTTAGTGAAGTATACTTCATTTTAATTAATTAAATTAACTATTTTTCGTGGTCCGCTTGACCAATTAATATCATTTAATGAAAAATGGCAAGTGGTAAAGTAGCGGCGTATCAAGCCGAAGGGCGTGGGTTCGAATCCCGCTCGTGACACTGACTTTTTTATCTGAACTAAAAACTTTAATTGAATGATATCAACTGGATAACTTCAAAATAGCTTTCATAAATGATAAAACAATCCACACACTTTTTTCCAAAGTTAAAGCTCCCACACCAATAACAAATAAATCTGACGTAATCTACAAGATCAACTGTTTAAACTGTCCGGCAACTTACATCGGTCTTACATCCCAATATCTGGGCAAGAGAGTAAAGCAACATATCTATGATTGCAAAAAACCCAAGCAAAATCCTACAGCACTCGCTACCCACCACTTTGAACACCAACACAATTTTGACATCAAAAATCCAAAAATATTACATAGAGAACAAAACAAATATAAACGTAATTTCTTAGAATTGGTTTATATCAACAGAGATAAACACAGCATCAATTACAGAACAGATACATGTAAACTCAGTCGCAGCTATGCCAATATCATTAATCAAATACAATACAGATAACATACATATATCATTACATTACATTCCACACATCAAATACTTTTCATATAGTCTAATTTTCCAACAATTTAGCTTTCCTTTTCCTATTTATCCCCTTTCTATATAATCCTGAAAGGATAATCTGGCCGACCTATTACCAACACATTGTTCCCCTTTGTCGGCTCTTTTCACTTCAAAGAAGTCGACGCCTTACACAAAATTGTCTTTTATATACCGACTTCCTTCCCCACCCCTTCAAAACCAAACATATATAAACATAAAACAGCAAAATCTCACTGGCACTCTCAACTCGACAGGCAAGGATGGCACAATTACACAGAAGACAAACACTTTGAGCCCTGAAGATGATCTCAATAAAAGATCGAAACGTTGACACGATAAAGAAAATGTTTTTCTGAAACCTACATCACACCCGACCGCATCTCAGGATATCTCAATAACTAATTAGTGATAAACTTGAGCCTAAGGCACGCAGCAGGAGAAGTGAACTAAGAAGTCGATGCCCCTGGAAGGAAAGAAGTTGCTCTACCGCTGATACGTCCTGAACACATTTTTGGTATAAGAATCCGTTCTATCAACGAGTTACTTAGGAAAGAAGACACGGAGAAAACAAGAAACTATGAAATTCATTCACTGGACACAAAAAATTCCAAAAAAACACTGGCGGGATTTGGGAAGAAACTATCAAAGGAAGCAGGAAAAGCGTAATAATCTGTAATCTTGGATGCCAGGTCACAAAATAATTTTTGGTAAAGAGAAGGCAGACGACTTAAACTTGGGGTGACAAAAGCAGCCAAACAATCCTATATCTCAGAATGATCCAAAACAGGCAACAGAAAACTCTAGAGGTGTCAGACAAATCAAACTTATTAGAAAATGACAAATGGTGAAGTGAGTGTGCTATTCAATCTTTTTAAAAAGATAGTTCTTACTCACAGCAAGTTGTTTTCAACAATCCGGATTTCGAGCTTTTAACTGATCATCAGGCTGAAGGAGTTTTCCAACCTGATGATGAGCTATAAGCTCGATATCCGGATCGTTAGAAACAATTTACTGTGAGTAGGAACTATCTTTTAAAAAGAGTAAATCAAACTTATGATAAAACAAACCCTTACCAAAACGAGAAGTGATAGGACCAGACACTGGAATCTGAGAAAAGATCAACATAGAATGGGTATATTCAATGATGGCCCCATTTGTCAACCTTGCAACAATGAGAAAGAAACAGTCACCGCTCAATGAAGTCATAATCTGAGATACAAAGAAAACCCAGGGAATGAATTGAATGTTGAAACTACAGCTAATGACTTAATACTACTTATTACTACACTACTTAGAAGGATTGAGTAGATTGCATTGAACATAAGAATTTATCATCATCATCATCTCCATCCTGCCATGTTCTCAACATTTGATGTTCATTAGGGAACTTCTACCCTATGTTATCTGTCATATCAGCATCAACAAAGAGTACTTTAATGTACTGTTTATGCTCTAAAATAAAATTCAAATATTTGTCAGAAGTTACCTTCGGGTCTTGCTCCGTGAAGATTGCATCAAAAGCGAACATCTTCGGGGCTGCAACTCCCAGCCGCCTTTCTTCAGGGGCGAGAGATGCAGCCCCGCAAGTAGCAGGGTCGAAAAGCGTCACTTGACGCTTTCTGCTGTCCACGTGAAGCAAGGAGGTATCCGCGTCGCTTGCACACCCGGCCACTTTCAGTATCACCTTGACCTGAAAAAGTAATTTATAAATGTAAAAACTCAGAACTGTTTGGTGGGCAAGCTGTTGGAAATTAGAACTGTTGGACAAAAAAATGTTCAGTACATTGCAGGAGATCTCAGTTAATCGCTTCCTAACTTGTTACAAGAAACGAAAAATAAATAAAATTAACGGAAATAAAAGAGACTAATTTTCATGAAATAATGAAAGTAGGTTTTCAGTCTAAAGTAGTAGCGCGTAATTTTGTCAACAAACTATTCTGATTCTAGTGTAAACTCATTCATAGGTTTAAATGTTAAATGCGATGCAGCTTTTATAGAGATGTCCGGCTTGAGGAAGAGAACATTTTATTTCCTCAGTAAATTACAACATAAAATTTTGTACATTATTGGTAAGTTGTAGGTTCCAGATTAAACACAATCTTTATTCCAGATTATAATCATAATCTTTAGCAATGTCTTGTAATTAGCAATGACGAGAACAAAAGTGGTTTGAGTTATTTTAAGCAAGTTTTTTGTAAAAACAATTTCCAAACATAGAAAAATGCACCTTATTCATATTAAAAGATACATGATATTCAAGTAAATTTAAATATAACTGAAAAACATAAAGTCAACATTGTCACTTCTCCGGATTTCTGATATGATTTAATATAAAGCAAACACATTCGATAAAGAGATTCCCTTTTGAACAAAGTCATGTGGCAGGGCGTTGAGAGTTTGATGGAAAACAAACATGGACCGAATCGTGCGGATTAGGCCGGTTTTGCCATATCAGCTCCCCATTCAATGAGGACTCATAGTTGTTTCCTTTCCTTCGGATTCGACTCCTTCCACACAGTTCATGAAAACTATTAAATAAAGAGTGCTTTTTACCGTACGGCACGTGTATCAGATGTAATTGCACGAAAGACCATTACCATTCGGAGTGTACATTTATTTCCATTTATATTAAGTTGGTGCTGAAATGCGATTGAATTAGAGAAGGGCAACACAGAGCATACTGATGAGCATCCCTAATACCACAGCTTACTGAAATTATGACTCCATATTGAATTCTCTTTATAGTGCTGAAGTGGATTAGTGTACATGGAAATGTAAATAGAATCCCATCGATCATACACAGCTCCAAATCGCACATGCAAAATCTGATATGTACGAAAGTATCATTTCCGTAGGATAACAAAGAGTTATACGACAGCATATAACAAAAGAGATGAAAATAGATCAACGTTTTAAAGATAAAACAAATCAGAAGTAGGAGGGAAATCTTTATTGGCAGTTTATCAAATAAATTATAATATAATATGTTTATAACATTTGAGTACTTACAAAAAAATTAATATTAATTAGAAAAGAGAAAACATTTTGTGGGAATAACACTACAGTTATAATCACATACATGCGGATAGTCACAAAAGATCTTACAGGTAAAAAAATAAATAAATTAAGTTTAATTGATTGAACAAAAGCTATAATAAATACAGTAAAAATATTTATAACGACACCAATTATAACTTACAAATTCTTCGGTCCCGTGAAATGCCATAAGGAAAAACATAGGGGACTGTTTATAACGAACTGTCGGTTGTAACGGAGGAAAAATTCGCGATAATTTCTGGAATCAATCGGGAGTTGTGTCAGCATTCTCTCAGGGAAATATCGGAAATTGTGAAAAACAAAGATAAAATAATCAAACAGTTCAATAAACGCAATAAAGTTAAAAAATATGGGCCTCTCAACACAAAGATTTGGACAGCATACCCATTAATGGTCCTATCCTTCAGCCATTCAAATAATCTTTAAAAAAGGAAAACAGCTGCAGGTGAAAGCAGGTCTTGGATACAAAGATTTCGCACTCGTCATGTCTTCGGAAAAATCGCTGGTGAGTCAGCTACTGTAAATTAGAATTTAACTGGAGATTGGCTTGAAATAGTCTGGCCAATTAGAGAAGAGTACATGGATTATGAAATTTTTTGTGCAGATGAGATGGGCTATTTTACCGTCTGACTTACGATCACTCCTTCAAATTTAGAGGGGGAGAAATATTCAGTTGGTAAAATGTCCAAAGAGTCTTAAACCGGGAACACACTTACCCGATGCAACGCCATGCGACGCTACGGGATGCTACCCGACGCCTTGCCACGTTTTGGAAGGGTGTGCACAGCTATGCGAAGTCAAGCGCACGTCACGTACAGTCACACAGCGTGTATACGAAATCGGTATCACAATCGCAACGTCTCTTTTGTTCTTAATGCATTATTTTGAGAAAAAACCGTGTAATAAATTGTTAGTTAAATTTTATGAGCACAACCATGTAAATTATTAGTTAAATTTAATTATTTTAAATAAAGTTTTTCCGGTGTTTTGATAAATTTTCTTCCAAACCATCATAATTAAATAATTTTGATAAAAACTCATGAATTTTTGATCTCGTTTAATTTGATTTATATTAAAGTAAGAATATTGTAAATAATATAACGATAAAATTACTTATACATAGTTTGAAATAAACTACAAAAAATACGGGTGTCCTATTCTGGCACTACTCGACCAAAATGGTGTAATTGCATGAGCAAAACCATGAAATAAATTGTTAGTTAAATTTTATGAGCAAAACCGTGAAAAAAAATGTTAAATTCATTATATCAAAAAATGGTATATCGGTATTTTGATCAATTTTCTTCAAAACCATTAAAATTCATTTTTTCTTAATAAAAACTAACGAATTTTTGATCTCTGTTAATTTGGTTTATATTAAAATAAGTATGTTGTAATTAATATAACGACAATAATACATGCAGTTTGAATGAAAATATGAGTGTCCGGTTCTTTTGTCTTCGACTGTACTCGATGCGACCCGACGAAAATCTGCACAGTTAAATAGCTGATGTAGGGTACAGTAGCGTAGCATAGCATCGGGCAGATGTGCACGGGGGTAATACAATCTTATGGAAAAATGTACTTTGGATTTGGGTCGGGTAGTATCGGGTAGCGTCGCATGGCGTTGCATCAGGTAAGTGTATTTCCGGCTGTACTGTTTGCTGCAGCTAGCATGATTGGCTCTCAGAAACGAAAGCTTTTGATCATAGACACGTGTAAAATACCTTGGTGATTTAAGGGTGTGAAAACAATTCCAGTGGATTATGAGTTTAATAGTAAATCATGAACGACTTCTGTCATTTTCGAAAATGTTCTAAAAAATGATACTATGAACTTAAAGTCAAGAAAGAAAAAAATTCTTCTGTTGGTCGATAATTGCCCAGTTCATCCAATAGTTGACAATTTAAAACACATAAAAATTATATTTTTGCTGCCAAATACTATATCGATTTTACAACCAATGAATCATTGGGTAATACGTTCAGAGAAGGTGGGCTTTCGTAAAGAAATGTGTACAAAATAATTGAGATGACTGAAAATAATGTGCCACCTAAAATAACAGTTCTTGTCGGAATCTTGATGGTTTCAAAGGCATGGACGACTGTTTCTGAAGAAACCATAACTAACTGTTTGATGTGGTGTTGTTTCACCCTGGGCTATGCGCAAGGAATGTTTACAATTCGATTTCAACCGAAGAAAAGAATACATAGACTGATCTCCAAAACGCTCTCTCGTAATTTCAACGTTGACTCTACCGTAGAAGAATTTGAATGATAAGTACCAAGTTCTAAGAGAATGTCCAACAAACGCAAAAAAGAAAATGAGCATAATATTCAAGATAATAATATATAATACAAAGAAAGGCCCATTGTTGAGAGAGTATGTATCTTGATGTAGGAGATATGGATTTTGGTGTTGTGTTGCATCGTTTGTTGGAGAGGTTTGTCGATTGGTACTAATTGTTGCCATAAATGTAAAATTGTTTTACCTGATCCCAATTAATTAAAAAACCTTTTATTTGAATCCAAAGAGATAACTTTAGGGAAAATATTAAAATTTATAATAATCTATTCGCTTTTGCGTCATTCAATGCTCAAAATACAGATATAAATGGAAGTGGTCCGGATTCCATGCGGATTCAAGATTCAGCTATATCAATGCTTCTGCAAGTCTTAGACATCTTATAATCCGAGTTTCGGTCCTATACGTACATCGTACTGCCAAAATACTAAGTAGGTGAATTCATAAGTTCATTCTGTTGACGTGTGTATGTAAGTACCTGTTCAGAATCGCGCTCAAATAAACCAGTAAATGGAAATCAGTAAGTATAGTATAATAGTAAGTTTTTTAAACAGTAGAGGTGACCTGACACTCAGAATGCCGGTGTTTTTTTTAAAGCCCATTTATAAGTATGTCGGGTTCGAATGCAGGGCCGCTGGATTCGAACCCTGGACCTTTACCTTACAGTGACGAGCGCCGTGCCAACGCCTAAACCGTTGCGGCCACCGTCGCCCCTTAATAGGAAGTTAACATAGTAATAATAGTAAGTTATAAAATAATAAAAACTATACAAGTAGACGGAATATAGACAGATACGCAGCGATATAAAAACAAATTTATAAACCAAACATATGGCCACTGCGCCAGGCAATTATTATTGATATGGTTTAAACAATATTTTTGATTACAAAAAATTGCAAATTTCTATTTGGCAACTGAGCAAATATTACCAAACTATTTAGATCAAGTGTGAAAAAGTTTCATGAAGTAATTACATTAAAAAATTTTCACACTAATTCGCTTTTATTATAATTATTTATAAGTTAAATGAAAGAAATGGCTTCAATGTGAACTATAAAGTTTTGCCTAATTACTTACTCACGCGACAGCTCCTGACGTGATAACATAATGACACCCTTCAAAATAAAGATAATACTCATATAGACAGAAAAAAGTATTATCGTTCAATTAAATTCGTTCGCGTGTTGCCTGCATAGAGTAGGAGAAAGGATCACCAACCGGCATAATTCCATTTTTAAAAATTTTCTTGAAGCCAATATCTCCGGCATCATTCCTGAATAAAGCTTCCCTCCGGCAATTGGTATCGGAGACTTTTATATTACAATAAAT